TATGATTTATTGTTTCCTCAAATATACCATTAACAAAACTTAATAATAGCATTTTTAGATCTTTTTGCAAAAATACTGCAGTAGACACATACCCACAGAATCAACAATACAAAAAACTATGCTGACCAAGTTTATAAAAACTGTATTGACAAAATAAAGAAATAAATTCAAAATAATTATACATGGTATGGTGTCGATGAAACAATTTGTGCAGCTGGCACATCGCCCATTTAATAATTGGTATATTAAATGAAGATTATACTATTAATACCTTTTTAATTAGTTCAAAGCAGTTAGCTCAATAATTAACAATATAATTAAGAGATTTATTCCTGATGGATTAACAAATATATTTTTACCAAATTCTGTGCCAAATAAAAAAAATATTGTTAATGCTTTCTGATGTTGCTGCTTATATGTTGAAAGCATATTCCAATTTGAAAATATTATACAAAAAGTTAATTTGCTGCATATGTCTAACACATGGAAAGAATCAGATTGCTGAAACTATTAGAATACAATTTATTCTAATTAAAAACAGAAAACGTTTTCTTAAAATCTCTATTGAAGATTCAATGGTTCTGAGAAAAATCACCAAATATACTATTTCTTTCTGAGTCTATCATGATGAGATGTTGGACATGGATAGACACAGCCAGTTTTATGCAGATCACTTGGTTTGTTTTGAGAATATTGTGTCACAGTTCCCTGAATCCATCTGTGAAGCCATTAGAAAATGCCAAATGGTATTAAAAAATCCATCAATTGAACAAAATCTAGCTTTTATAAAAGACAAATTACTGTTTTGTAAGCAAAGCTATAAAAAAAACCTTGAAACAAATGATTTGCCTTAGTAGTGCTTTCCAAATAATCAATAATTTTAAAAATGCCGATTCAAGGATACAAGGTCCTATGGGAGTAGTAGTGTGCAGAAAACTATAAGTTTTAGCTAAAAATACAGGATACGAAGTTTTGCAGCATATATCTAGGACAGTGATTCTCAACCACTGTGCCGTGAGATTTTTGAAGTGTGCCGCCACAGCGAATGCCCATACAAAAGCGACGTCAGACAAGTAGCTCAATTAGTTTGATTGACCTTCCTAGGACGCATTTGGAAATTGTAATTGGTGTTACCAGTAACTGCTGGTAGTTACCAAGGTGTTTAGAAAATGTGACCTAAGTAATCAACTGTGTTTAAAAATCACTGTTATGACGTCACTGGTTGTTCTGCGATATTTACCAAAGTAACCGCGTGTGCTGCCAAATTTTTAAATTATTAAAAGTGTACCATGACGAAGAAAAGGTTGAGAATCACTGATATAGGATCTTGACGGGGAGACATTGTTTGGGATATTCCTATAAGTGCTTCCAGTATTTCTAAACATGTTCCAATCACCAATGTAATGTCGAAAAAAGCTATTCATGTTTTAAAATATATTTAGTGACAGAAGAATGGGATTTTCTGTTGAAAATTTGGAAAAACATTTCATTATTAGTTTATTTAGAAACAAACAGTAATTTTTATCCTTATCAATGTTTTATAATATCATTTTACAGTATATTAGGTTTCTTTATAATTGGTTTGTTATGTTTAAAATTACATTAATGAGCAATTATTTATTGTGACATTAAAAATTGCAGCCTGGCATTGTGGAAACCATATTTTCAATTTAAATTAATTTAAACTATATGCTCTTCAGTTCAAATTTGTACTGTAATGTCTTGCCCTGTACATCATACTTTTCCTTTAACAATACAGTTGTGCAAGTCATCTATTAACTGCTTTCAGGGGAAAAGTTTTGAATTGAAATAACATGACTTCCACTTTGCATTGAATGTTCCTATGTAGTTAATCAGGGCCTCCTGTCCCTAAGGTTTCGATATCTGGTCACATCTTTCATATAACTCCGTTCTCAAGATTAAGGAAAGATGAACGGACAGATGACAGTGGAAATTTATAGGTCTGCAATTTTTTCAAATTGCAGCCAATGATAGTTAACTAAAACAAATACTCATTTTAAGTTTTTTTTTTTTAAAAAAATAACAAGTTGGGTTGTTTTAAGAATAAAGTTTGTTAAATAAAGTTAAAGTTAATTTCCTCCTTATGGTTACATTTATTAAAACTGAAATTAACACATCTGTTTCGTTCTAGTTTTTATAAAATTTTATGCGTACATTTGCTACATTTGCTTTAAGACAGATGTTTTTCTTTAAAAAGTTAAGTTAATATTCTTATAAAATTTTATAGTTATAGCCACATTTATTAAAGTTCTATAATAAATACTGTTTAATTAATATGTTTATTCATTTTGACTTGTTCTGAAATTTTATATGTCTGGTGATTAACATTCAAAAACATTAATATACAAAACATCTTTTTTCAATGCTAAGCAAGCCTTTTATGATATGCTTAATCAGAAATTTTGTGCAACTTTATATGCTTATTATACATGTCCTACTTATAATTGATCTCAAGAAGTAATGGATAAGCTTGTCCCTATTTATGAGATTTTGATTTACAGACTTTCAAGAATGGGTACAGACAAATTAGGGTATCAATCACATTGTGTATTTTCTCTATTTTATTCAAAATTTTTGAGGTGGAGCATTAAGCAACTGTATATGGCTTACAGAATTACATTCTTTCTCAAAGTTTGATTAATCAATTTTGATTAAACTTTGTAATTTTCCATTAAATGCAATGAAGAATCCTAAAATGTAATAAAAAATTGGTGTTTACAACTTCATTTTTGAGGTACTGTGGGATCAATGTGACAAAATCCATGCTCCCTGATATGATTAAGCACTGCATAATCAAATTTAGAGATAAAAAATTAAAACAAACAGCATTGCACACCTAACAGAAAATGGGCACCAAAAGCAAACAAAACACAAGAAGAAAGCAATCAATGCTGAGTGAATGTAAGGATTGTCTCTCTGAACCCAGCAGGTGCAACGATCACCTCTTTGTTATAAATAACAACACATGGCAAAACTGGAAATAGTACAACAGTGAAACTAACACCTAAATGCGATTTCCAGCAAATAACCTAATGTTCTAAGTTTTGGATCACCTCTTTGTGACCAATAAATATACCAATTGCCTTCCCATGTGGCCAGCAATCTTTCTCTTCTGGTCTCTCTCTCTCATATACATGCACACTTTGTCTCTCATTCTCACATATAAATGCACTTACATACATATTCAAACACGTCAGCATTCAAATTACATGGGACAAAACAAAAGCTGCATGTACTAATACTAATTTAAAAAATTTTAATTACAAAAATGCAGTGCTCTGCCTCAATTTTACCACAATATGACAAAGATGCATGGTGTCCTAGTTATAAATCTATATCCCATACTGTATAGAAGATATATCAGGAAATATCTAAATGAAAACATCAGGAAAATATCTAAATGTGAAAAAGTTTCATTGTAGAGGTAAACCTAAATATGTTTAAAAAGTTGAAAGTGAATGAATGACAAGTCTTATTTACGTAACAAAGTTTACACCAGGGATGTCCAACTCGTGGCCCACTGCACTCTGAATTTTTTAGGTATATTTTCATTTATTTTGGTAAAGTATGTCATTAAAATTATTCTCATTCCATTGCTGAATACATTGTTATGACATCATTTTGATGTCATAATGACTATTTGGTGTTAGAAAACTGTTATGCATGTGGGGTAGTACATATTGTTGTGAACAATTCTTTTTGCACATGAAAAATATCAAAACTGCTGAAAGAAACAAACTGAGTGATTCCCATTTAACTAACATTCTTAGAATTAAGACTACCGGTATTACCATAAAAGCAGATATTGACAGTATTACAAAAGGAAGGCAATGTCAAAAATCATGTTGAATTTATTTTTATATTGTGTGAACATTTCTTTTTTTACTGTCAATAATACAGTATTTTTGTAATATATATATATATTTGTTATTAAAATTTAATATTCGCATTTTGAACTTTTTAAAACATATATTTATATAAAGTACCTTCGTGGCCTGCTGAATATACCCAAATTTCTAATTTGGCCCATTAGGAAAAAAGTTGGACAACCTAGATTTACACTATAACATTATCTATATAATTAATTAGATTAATGCCAAACAAACTGCTGGATTCTTCACTGGGTTGTAACAAGGCTAATTTAATGAAATAATATAATGCAATTTGGCTATAGATAAGCAGTTTAAGCTGCCATTTAATTTAAAATTAATTTATTGACAGGAAACCATATCCAGCTTATTACTTACAAGTGTACATCTATGTGTTTTATTGTGTTTTAGTTACATAGGAAATTGATTAGGATTTTGGATTGCATTGTAGCATTATCATTTTTCCCATTTAAAATAATAATAATATAGCCAATGCATATAATAGTTGTTGTGAATAGTATTCATTACATATATCAGTTGATGCTAGCAGTCTTACTGCTATTGTCAACCGATACAAACTATAAATAAACTGCAATGATTTTAAACTGTTTTAAATAAAATGAACAAAAATCAAATCATTTGAGAATAATTTAGTTTTTGTTAAATCAGTGGTTTGGTTTAGACACCAGTTTTCATTACTGATCATGAAAACAAGTTACATAATTAAATATTATCATTAATGATATGTATTATCTTTTAATATGATTTGATTGTATTAAAATGTTGTTTATTGTATTGACAGAAAGGTTATGTCAAAATTTAAATTATAATTCACTTATTTTACATGCGTGCAATAATACAATTAATCCAAGATTTATTTTGCTTACAACAAAAAAACATGTGACTTTTTTGAAATTTGAAATTCATCAATTTCAATTTCAAGTTTATATCAATTTGACAATGATTTCAAAATATTTGATTAAGAAAACGTATTAAATCCTTAATAAACATGACATACCTCGTAATATTAATTCTGCAAATAAAATAAATCTCTAAACATCAAGATTTAATTAAATTTTCAACTTGCACAAAAACCAAACGATAACTTACTTTTCAAATGACCGCTTTACCCTATCTTTCCCGTTCTTCCCTAAACAAAAATAAATCTTTAGATAGAGTTTTTTAAATACAGAAGTTTAAATTGATATATATTAATTATATAAAAATAATTTAATTTAATTCAAGACAACAAAGAGAATAATAACGTTTACTATAAGCAATAGTAGGATATTCTGTTTGAAATTATTTTCCCCATCCGCGAAATTTCCCTGTAAGCTAGAAACCATTATTCAGTTTTCGAAACTTAACGCATAATTAAAGTTTAAATTCTGTTTATATTATAATCGTAATATATAATTAAAACTTAATAAAATATTTACAATTTTATTATGTTTTATTTTCTTGTGTAATTTCATGTTTTTTTTCGTTCAAGAAAAAAAAGCTGCAAGTTTTTCCCTGAATTACAAAATGAGGGGAAAATAAACATATGTAAAGAAAATAAAATATATAAAATTTATTAATATTAAAGTTGAACTATTTATTTTTGTTATAAATAAGGCTTAAACGAATAGATTTACTCATTTCCTAAGAATAATAGTTACTTTATACGTCAGTTTGATGAGACGAATTAAAAAATGACGAAATAATTTCTTCCAATCAAAAGACTAATCAGAAATTTGAATTAAGACCTCAGCCAATTGTTCTCGAGGATACTGTATCAAATCCGGACGGTCGAAAAAACCATGGAAAATTTTATAGATGGTCTGTCGTCCACCCGGTCGCCCCATTGTGGGCCTGGCCGAACCCATAATGGGCTTGCTATAAGAGGCCCTCTTACTGCCAACAGAACGGAAAGAATTAACAAAAAAAGACGGTCCTTCCTATAGATGCAAAGCCCCGCTTTTTACTATCCGGCCACTCCGATTGTAGGCATGGCCAAACTTGTTATTTATGTAATTTCCAAAACAGTCAAACCTGTCTATAACGGAATCCCAAGGGACCGAACAACTTCCGTGATAGACAGGTTTCTGCTATATACAGGTTGCTACTATAGGTATTACTTGATTAATGAAATTAATAAATTTCTTGATGTGTATCGCGTTAATCAAATACAGTGGAACCTCGGTACTCGACCGAGCAATCATCACCCGCTAGAACAAATTTTCTGTTAATAATACTGTAAATATTTTTTATTATTACGAAAGTTAAAAAGCGTGCATAATATGTCCGATGTGAATTTTATCTGCAGACATTTCTACTTGATTTTATTCAAACGAAATGTCATGTTAAAAAATTTAAAATAAGCTTCAAAACAAAGAATACAATCTCACATTGGGAACAGTGTGTTAAATTTCACAACTTATAATTATATCACATATTTAAGTAAAAACAGCTGTTAATAAAAATATGCAAAGACTTTCCGTTCAAATGCCTATAGAATTACTGTAATACAGTAGTCGTGCTTTGCTATTCTGTATTGGGTATGTGTATTTTTTGAATTTTTTTTTTTTTATGATTTATACATGTTAGGTTTGTAAACTTCTTGTTAAATTTATGTTAAATCGGATAAAGTTACCAATTTCTCTGTTATACGATTCGATTTTCTTTTCCGTTTCCGCGTTGGACAGGTTCCGCTATATACAGGTCAATTTACATTACTTTTACAGTTTACATGACATGTTTTCGCTATATTGTCGAAGAAATAATTTGCCTGGGGGAAAAAGTAAGAGTAAAATTGGTCAAATGAATTCTAGATCTGAAAAATAAGAACAACAGAGAACCCTGAAGGCCATGGAGTCCGACTTGATTAAGAATGGCTTTGTCAAGGGCTGCAAAAACAGTATCACAACGTCAAGCTGGACTTGAAGATCTTCTCAATTCTTTAATCTCTACTTTCTTATAAAAAAAATATTCCGTTATGCTTGACGGGAGAATTTCTAGTTCGTAATAAGCAGTAAAATGAGGCACTAAGAAAGCGAGTTCTCGACCACGGCCTGGAATGCACATGCATTAATATGAAACCGCACGTGTCAGGATATAGGGTTTATGTGCTAAATCAGTAAGCCCATAATAAGGACGGCTGGATGGCCGAGCGATCAAGGTGACAACCTACCGCTCTGGGGATCTCAGGATCGCAATCCTCTCCAGGAATTTTTCGGGTAGTGATCCGACCGGATATGTCGGCCCCCGGCCGCCACATTAAGGGTCTGGCCGAACCCATAATGGGTCTGCTAAAAGAAGATCCTGTTAGTGCTCACAGGGCAGAAAGAGTTTAAAAAAAACCATTATAAGGTTTTCTGCGGTCATAGTTCCCTGACACGTAGCAGATTTCTCACCGAAATTTGTTAAAGAGCTTCTTACAAGAAGAGACTTTGATAATGAAAATAACACTATTAATAATTTAAACATTAATTAAGAATTTCAATATATTCCAATGAACCTGTATATTTATAATATAAAGGTTTGTTTGTCTATTTTCTAATTAAATTAGAAAGCTAAATTTGATTTTCCGTTTCAGATTGCTAAAATAAAAATAAAATATTTCCTCTTTGTTTGGAAGTAAATTGAATACCTTATTTTCGTTTTTAGTTCTGTTTATGATTGATTTAATTTGGCTACCCCGACCTTTTTGAGCCATTCTGCAGACCAAGTGCAGAATGGCTCAAAAATTTTCTTGCAGCTAACCCATATATGTTGGATCTCTTCATTATGGGCCTGGCCCACCATTATCTAAGTGGAAAAACCACTGAACACCAGTGGCGTGCCGTTATTACAAGCGTTGGAAGCGCCGCTTCCCTCGTATTCTCTAAAAAAAAATAAATATTAATTTTAATTATATGAAAATAATCGCACAATATTTTATTATAACCGCATTATGTATCTTATTACAAATTTCTATACTACACGTGGAAAAAAACAAAACAAAAAATTGCTATTGTATATTAGAATATTAGTGACGGAGTGTAATCTCCTGTATTTTCAGATTACGAAAAGCAAGATNAAAAATAATTAAAATAATTACAACTTTACAAAAAGAGAGAAGTTGCCGATCTTGCCCCTATACCCGGGGCAACTTCGTCAATTTCTCTCTTCTTGTAAAGTTGTAATTATTTTAATTATTTTTATTTCCAAACTGATTTTAACCAGTTCTATAGTAAGGTAACATTCCAATAGACAATATGCAAAGCTTTTTTTTCAGTTTACAGCAGTATTTATTACACAAAATTTAAGTAAAGCTTAACATGCCGATCTTGCCCCGATCTCCCCTATATTTATAATAATTTACACATTTATTTAGCAATTTTCTTCATTCACTCTTTTAATTTCAAAGTGTGACTACTAAAGATGTATCTAAAAGATTTAGTTACGTTACTTCACAAAAGTTATTGCAAACACGTTAGTGAATTTATATTTTCAACATTATTTTTATCCACTAACCTCATACAGCCTCGAATTCTCGACAGCAGGATGGCCGAGCAATCAAGGTGACAGTCTACCGCTCTGGGGGAACCGGGATCGAATTCGAACGGGTCGAAAAATCCCCAGGAATATTTCGAGGTGGTTTGTCCGGATGTGTCGAGTCCCGTCCCTCACCACCCGACCGTCCATTGTGGGCTTTAGAGCCGGCCCTACCGGACGGAACAGCCGCTCCAGGCGCTAAGTCCTAAGGGGCGCCTCAGTGGTAAAGAAAATTAAAGGGTATAAATTAGGCGCAACCAGGGGGCGCCATAATAGGATCTCGCTCCATCCTAAAACTTGCCTCGGGCCGGTACTGGTGGGCTTGGCTCGAACCCATAATGGGCTTTGCTGAAAGAGGCCCTCTTAGTGCCCACAGGGCAGAAAGAGTTTTAAAAAAGTCTCGAATTCTCAGTTGTTTACACTTGGCATTTCTACAATATTTAAGCAATTTAACTCCTGGTTTTGTTAATGAGAAAACGGAACAATCTTATGCCTTTTGCTGACAATATTTTACAAGTCGTTGCCTAACACCAAACCGTTTAAACAAAAATAGATAACAAGAAATGTAGTTAATTGAAATTAAAAAAAACGATCAAAATTCGCTCTACAAACACTATTACAAAAGGAACCAATGGCGACTGCCGCAATGCATCATGGTATCATTTCCAGACCTTGTGTTAATAGATCTTGGTGTAAACCACCTAAACAGACCTGAAATTTCCCTAAAATTAAGAGTTTCCCTAAAAACTGAAACAAGCATCCTCTAAATAGTTTTGCTCCAGGTGCAATGCATATCAAAAAAGCATTAGTCTTTTGGCAATCCAGAGAAACAAACTCACTTTTTGGCGCAGCGGCGTGAACACAGTTGAGCAAAGCATCATGTTCTCGAAGGGACCTCGCCGCGAGAACAGTCATGAGCCCTGTGACTTCTAAAATATCCAATTCGTCATTGAAATTTCACTAACCAATATGAGCAGACTTTACATTTCTCCCCTAAACTTCTCTCTATCTTGTTGTTTTCCTCCTATTTTTAAAATATTAAAAACAGATATTAAATTTATCATCGAAAATATCATAAGGTAAAGTTAAAATCACTTTTTCCTCCCTCTATTAAAATATAAAAAAAATTTAATGTATAAATTTAGAGTATGGAATGACACCTTGAAGCTTGACAATTAATTTTTTTTCAGCATTGAAAATCAATCGGAAATGGTATATTTAATTCATTTACTCTAATTTGTAAATAATTTGGAAGCGCAGGGCCCGGGCGAGTGTCCCCCGATGCCAAGAGCGGTACTGAAATCAATAACAATACTTGTCAATTGTTAAGTGAATTTTTGTTATAAAACATTAATGTCAATATTACCATACCAGATTAAAGTATGGTACAAAAATAATGCCAAGTTTTCAAACATGGTACATCTTGCTATGCTTGAAAATCTGGTACCATCTTCGTAACCACGTGTTTCATGTTTCGCGAATTTATCACAATAGTAATATTGACGTCTTCATAAAATTCCTGAAGCACGTGCTATGAAGATATGCCATGTTTTCAAGCATGACACTTCTGATCACGATGACATTTCTATAGTATGCATGTTCGCACAACACGATCTTTTAGTTTCTGATCTGACAAAGATGCGACTAGTTTGAGCATAAGTTGATGTATTAAAATACTTAAATCGCTTATATTTAAAAATAATTTATTCATAAATTAATAAACAAACTACTGTATTGTTAGTAAATATTCTGTCTTTCGTGATAATTTTATTAAAGTCCAAATAGTTCACTAACTTACAACTCACAACATTAATCGAGTAGAACGGCAAAGTACTATATTTCACAACATTCTGAAAAATGGTAACACATTCCGAAGCGTGTAATTACGTATAAACTACAGTAAAATATGCATTAAGAGTCCATTGTGATATTATTTTTCATCATTCTGAATATGTTTCGAAAGAATTCATAACTTACTGCAATGGATTTCATCTGAAAGTACTTCGATAATGAATTTCTCACTCATTGCATATTGCAGTGAATGCTTTATGTTATCCTTATATTGTGTTTGTATATATATTTATACTTAAATTACTAGAAAGTTTTATATAAAATCTAAAAACATATAAAAGAATGCATATATTTATTAAAATTTAACATTGAAAAACGTATTAATTAAATGCAAATTAGTTCTTGAAAGTGGGGATTGCAAGTCACCAATTGAAAAATAAAATATATCAATTTCTATAATGAAATAAATTATCAAAGATTCCCAAATTTCCAGCAATACAACATAAACTTTCTTGTATTGCCATAGAGCAGACTATACTTTCCAGCAATATATATTAAACTTATTGCATTGCTGGAAAGTACATCTTATATTTTCCAGCAATACATGTTAATTTATGCTGTAATTTATAAAATAAACATATTTTTATTGTTTTAAGCGAATAATTTTTTTAATTATTTTGATTTTATAAAGAAAAAAATTAAAATTAAAGTGATTAAAAATCCGAAATAACTTATATCAAAATTCATTTTAACAGGAATCTTTTAGTCATCAAAAAACTGTCATAAAAAATTAAAGGACGAATATATAATATTAGTAACAGTCATAAATCTTACTAAGTCGATGCCGCTAGGAATTTGTACCACCATTTTTTTTTAGGTCAAGGAAAGGTTATGAACACGTTTCGTAATCAAAAAATACAATATATTTTTGTAAATATTTCGCCTTATGTAAGTTACTTTAATCCAAATTTAATATATTATAAATTTAAATATACAATTACAAAAATTTGGCAGTGTAACATTTTGTTACGTAGGCTTATATATATATATCGATATAGTAACTGCTAGACAGAGTATTCAATTCGTTGATGTCTAAATCTAAATAAAGATTTGCGAATTAAAATTTTAATTAAGAATTTTTAGTTTTTTAAATGTTAAAAAAAATATATTAATAAATCAAATTAATTTTAATTAAATCTTCAATATTTTTGTGTGTTTTTTTGATACAACAGCAGCAATACTTGTTTTTGTTGACTTTATAAAAGGTTGTTGATGTAAATGGTAACATGTAGGACATAAATAAAAATTCTATCCTCATTTCTTCTTCCTAACATAAAAAAAAAATTTTGCAAAAATTAACATAAATTATTTTATTGGCGTAAACAAGACTATTAATGCCTTATTTGAATGAGTAAATGTTTTTAATAGCTTCAACCTATAAGAGTGCATCAAATTCTTTTGCATTAATTTATAATTTTTCTTTTAGAATAGAGTCGACCCCCCTATAACACTGTTGATTTTTCCGTTTTATATGAATTCCATGTTGTACGAGTCACTTAGATTTTACAGATACGTGTGCTGGGCTGTGATGGCTCACGTATTTGTAAAATCTAAGTGACTCGTACAACATGGAATTCATATAAAACGGAAAAATCAACAGTGTTATAGGGGGTCGACTGTTGTCACAAACCTTAAACATATAAAATATTGCTATAGGAAAGTATTATTTATAATAAAACTAAACATTTACATGTACTATAGTACCTAAACAATTAGTTTGTTATCCTGCTCGAAACAAATTTAATTCTATTACTTGTAAGACTTCTTTAATACATCTCCTACAATAACAATACAAAGACACACTAGTACTTTGGACTTTATTGTAAGGCAGCATTTGCAGCACTCTAAGAACAATTTAAAATTAATTTCGTTATGTCAATATTTAAAAAAATGTGTCAAAGGGGAGTGACGATGATGACGACAGGGAGCTCTTAAAAGGCTTTAAACTTGTAAAAAAATTTATTAAATTACTTTTTTATCATACAATAATGCAATATAGGTACAAATATGATAAATTGTTATTTAGTTAGTTATTATATTAAATTACTTCAATATGTTACAACTTCTACATAGTGAAATAAGAAAATAACACATAAAAGAAACACATCTTTACTCCAGGGAGTGTAAGAACAAAGTACTGTGACTTTATTTTATTTAAAGAAAAAATTTAGCTTGAAAATTATTAAAATAAAATCTAAAATATGAAGAAAAATGCGAGGTTTTAACGTTTGTTTACGTTATAACTAGAAGATTTGACTTTTAAAGGGGTGGAGCAATTGGCGGGGAAGTTTTGTCTAGACTGGTCGGAAATAATGCCGATTCGTTGATCCAACTGTCGCGTTATAAAAAACACCAATAAGAGTGTGGGAGGCATTTCGAGGAGAACTGTAAATACCAATTAACGGCAAGAAAGCGTCTGGTAGACTTACTATACAGGAGGAAGGAAGCTGGCGGGTATACGTATTGTTTAAAAGAGGGAAGACGGACTTCACTCGTTACAGTAGAAGAAGCCTGCAGAGACAACGGCAATTCGACTGAATTTAATCCATTAATATACGTTTTACCACTCGATAGTTACTTCCTTTAATGACATACCTTAATCGCAACGAAATTACATAGAAAAATCTCCCAAAAATCATTTATTAAATTCTTGGTATAGAAAATTTTATAACGAATATTCTGGAACTAATTAAACAACAATTACCAATCCATAAATTGCCTTTCTTACAAAGGTTTATATGATATTTAGTATATAAATGCCCTAACTATAGAAATAGCAAGAATAAACCAAGTTTCTATAAGAACTAACTGTACTGCATATTAAAACATTATATAATATTAATTATATCTGTTAATTAAGAGTTTTTACTTACACTAAGTATTTCTTCCACTATTCCAAGCTGCAAAGGGGGTAAAGTAATAGGCGACAGTACGGTATTTATAGGTTTGAGAACATCAGCAATCCTATTATTATCCAAAACACAATTTCTGGGTTGTTTAGGAATTAAACCTTATAAATAAATATAAATGCCGTGAGATAAATTCATTGTCAAAAAAAATATTC